GAAGCCAAAGGAAAGTTTTAGGGCTCAGGGGGTTAGATATTTACCATAATGAGGGACCAGCTTCCTGAAGGGGACAGTTACAGAAAGAATGGTATGCTGGTACGGCAGGCATTGAGAGAGCAGTTGGAAAAGGGCATTATGGATTACTGTTATTTCTCATCACTGCGATCCAAGCAATCCAGATTCATGTACAATTCAGGCATGCAATATATGTCTTCACAGTAAATGTTTCTATAAGCATATGTTATAAAAACTAGGAGTATAGGGCTTCCCCCGTGGCGCAGTGGTTGAGAGTCCGCCTGCCGATGCAGGGGACACGGGTTCGTGCCCCGGTCCGGGAAGATCCCACATGCCGCAGAGCGGCTGGGCCCGTGAGCCGTGGCCACTGGGCCTGCGCGTCCGGAGCCTGTGCTCCGCAGCGGGAGAGGCCACAGCAGTGAGAGGCCCGCGTACCGCCAAAAAAAAAAAAAAAAAAAAAAACTAGGAGTATAATTGTGACATCAACTAATTTCATAATGTTTTTACAAAATAAAGCCATCACATGCTTCATTCAACAAGTATTTGATGAGCACTCACTGCTTGCCAGGTGCTGAGCTAGGTTTGGAGTTGCAGTGGAAAACAGGTAGACAAGGCCCTAGAGGTGGGAGACAGACAGTAAATAAGTAAACAGATACATAAAGAAAAGGGACTGTTTCAGATAGTGTCAAGTGTTATGAAAATAATAAAATAGAAGATGACCAAGAGGTGGCTACTATCTTAGACGTGGTGGTCCGGAAGACACCTCTGAAGAGATGACATTTCAGCAGGGACTAAAACGATATGAAAGAGTTGTCCAAGAAGATAAGAAGATATCAGGCAGAGGGAACAGCTAGCAGAAAGACCTTAAATTCGGGACATGTTTAGTGTGTCAAGAGAACGTCATGAAAAAATTTTCAGGGACCAAGTCATGTGAGGCTTTATAGCTCTGGATTTTACTCTAATAGCAATGAGTAGATATTGGTGAATTTTAAGCTACAAAAGAAAATAATCTGATTTATGTTTTCAAAGGATCCCACAGGCTACTCTGTGGAGTATGAACCAAAGAGGTCAAGGGTGTAAGCAGGAATCAATTGAGAGGTTTTTACTACAGTCCAGGCAGACGATAAATAAAGGGAAGAGTGAAGACGGTAAGAGGGTATTGGAACTGGGCAATATTTAGGAGGTTTGGCCAACTAGATTCTTGATGGATTGGATATGAGAAATCAGGATTGGATATGAGAAATCAGGAAGAGTGGAACTCAGGTTGATTCTGAGGGTTTGGGCTTCATCAGTTAGTTATGATGATTCTAATAACTAAGATGGGGATAACTGGGGAAAGATGATGTTATGGAAGTGGTGGGAGTTGGGGTCCATAAACTACCTATGCTTACATGGATGAAAAGGAGCCTTGAATGCCCTTAAGTGGAATGAAAATTTTTGGTATATATTCACAGGGACTTTAGGTTGGGAGCATACACAAGTTTCATCAAATTCTTAAGAGAATTGGAAAAGTTATCTCCAGAAAGCAAAGTTAGACAATTCCTAACATATTACCCTCTGGATTTTCTTTTTCTTCTTCCTTTCTTTTCTGTTTATAATTATGTAAAAGCAGAAAAGAGAGTAGAGACTGAATTTTTAGTAAAGAAAAATATATGTAATTTCTATACATCATAGATCTCATCTTCTTTTAACAAAAAGAGTATTTATCAGCTAATAAGACACCATTTTCCTTTGATTAAAAAAAACTACCTTTCATCTGTGAGAGAATTTTCTGTCAAAAATATTATATGGCAAGATTGATAATATTAACATTATTTTCTAAGATGACATTTCATGTGAGATGATTTCCTTAATGAAGTTATGCAATCATTCCTATCTGTTGGAAAGACAATTTACACAGTAGCTAAAGAGAAGTCCAAATTTGAAATGAATGGCACACAAGAGAGCAGTTTTCACAGTCCAAGATCAGCCCTCAGAGGTTTACTTGAAGGATTATTATTATTTCTTTTACATATCAGAAGGGGAAAAATAATAAAAGAGGTGGGAAATATCATCCCCCAAATATATATCAGTTATTATAATACAAAAGTTGTAAAGAGAAAAATTCATATTAATTCCTTCTCCAGCTCCCCGTAACTAAATTATTAATTAACTAAGAAGAGAAATGACAACTTTTGGATCACTCAGAGAAGCAAGAAAGAATAGAAAATAATGTGTTAATGTTTTAGTCAAACTCAATTCCAGCCCCCAATTTCTTATTTTTCAAAAAGGGAATATCTTAGGATATTTAATAACAAGTTACAGCTGACACATCAAGGGAACAGAGATACTTCTTACCAAAGTAAGGTGCCAGACCCAAATTCAGATTTTGAAAGGAAACGTTCACAAAATTCCTGGACCTCTCAGGTCCTCCATCCCCGATGGGCAGGGATTAGAGTATGCCTGTTCCCTTTCCTCATACTCATTTGGATGTGCCTCCGAGAAGCCTACTGAGAGAACTTACTGTCTTACCTCTGCAGTGGTGAGGTAAAATGACTGTAGTCTTGACTCCTGTCCAGAGAAGTCAAGCAGCCAAGAGATTGGCTCACCAACTGCTTTGATGGTAATGGTGGAGAGTTTCTTTTGTTTGGGGATTGGCCTGCACTATCAAATTTGCCCAGGTAAAGTCTACATGAGGGTTTCCCATGGCCTGGAGGTGGGTAGTATATGAGGAAGAGCTCACCTTGGATTCAGTCCAACAGGGCTACAGAAAGGGATCAAGGGGCGTGATCCACAAGGATAAGATTTATGTGGAACCCCGATTTCTGGAGGTAGCAAGGGCAAGGAGAGTCTAAAGCTACCACTCAAATAGAGATCTATCCATTAGGAAACCAGAGGTGAGAGGCTCCAGTGATGGGACTCTTCCAAGTACCCACAAAAGCACCTATAAGAGAGTCAACCCTAAATATCTCTTGATGCCAGGACCTCATATCTAGCCCACCAAACAAAGTTCAAGTAAGGATTTTCTTATTATCTTTTTCTTTCTCCCTTTCATGCTCCAACCAAACCTGGAAAGGTCTAAAGCCAAGGTTAGCAAGCTGGCAACTAAATCCAGCAATAGCTGAGAGAGAGGAAAAGATGTAACTCAAGTTAAATGCAGAGTTTCAATTATTATACAGGAGCCAACACTCTAATTTCTGAATCCATACAGTGTTTGGGGCCTTCAAGTGTCTTCAGGAATGCTTATTATCTAAGAGTGAGTGGAAATCTTAGAACTCTAATTAAATGGTGGGGGGAAGCTTCCATCATTGAAAAAATTTAAAGAGATAATGGGAAGCAAAAAAACCCCCCTATATATATATATATATATATATATATATATATATATACACATTTTATTAGGTCTTATGCTTAGGGCTTGTTCAATGTAAAATGTAATGAAAGCGTAAAATATTTAATTTAAAGAGATAATGGGAAGCCAAAAAATGTGTTTTATTAGGTTTTATGCTTAGGGTTTGTTCGATGTTAAAGTAATTTAAAAAAATCATTCACATATAAAGCTTATACCAGCTCTATCCTATAATGCTCCCTAGAGTAAACAACTTATTCTTTACTCTCTCTAGACATAGCCTTATCCTCTCCTTTGTTCAACTACTGCCATGTCCTTCTAACTCATCAGAAACTGTCTTAGCATTCTGTTAGGTCAAGGGATGGGGGGGGGGGCACTATGCTTAGTGTAATTGCAAAACATTGTGGGTTTCCCCCAGCCTAAGTATTGTCACATACAAGGGTTTGAGCCTAACCTTTCTTACTAAGAAGTATGTAAAAGCATTACACAGAATAAAAAGTTCTATGGATTATATTAGCTTTCAATATCTTCATTTTTTTCTCCTTTGTTAGCATTGAGTTTGGTCAACAAAAATGGGGTATATCCAATATATCTAATATCCTCTCTAATAGATATTTCCAAGTCAAATAAAATACGGTCTGAGAAAAGGACCTAGTAACTGCAATTTTTGTGAAATAGTAAGAACAGAATTAAAGTTCTAGTGAGTTAAAGACTGAATGGGAGATAAGGAAATAGATATAAGAAATTAATACTAAAATATCTGGGAGCTCTGCAGTAACCAAATGAAAGATTTAGTGCTGTTGCAAGAACTAGACTGAATGAGTAAATGAATTCAAAGGTCAAAAGGAATTATTATTGATTTAATTTTTTAAAAGTATATCTCTTTTAAGTGTCTATGACCCTTAAGAAAGGTTCAAAAAACTGTATATGTTTTATACTCTATAAAACTCTATTTTTTTAACATCTTTATTGGAGTATAATTGCTCTACAATGGTGCGTTAGCTTCTGCTGTATAACAAAGTGAATTAGCCATACGTATACACATATCCCCATATCCCCTCCCTCTTGCGTCTCCCTCCCACCCTCCCTGTCCCACCCCCCTCTAGGTGGTCACAAAGCACCGAGCTGATCTCCCTGTGCTATGCGGCTGCTTCCCACCAGCCATCCATTCTATATTTGGTAGTTATACTCTATAAAACTCTTGAACAAAATGAGTTCTCAATAAACTTCATTTCCAACTATATCCTCCAATAAGTTATGTGTTCTGCACCATCTCAGAGTATATTCTCTGCCATGAGTCTAAGTAGGCTATGTAATGAGTGCAATGTGTACAAATGCTGTTTCATTCCAAAGCTGTAGCTTAGCTTACCATGTACAGAGTGATAGTCTAACACACATGCCTAGGACAATGATTTACATATTCTTACAATACCTTTTTCTAGAAGAGAATATTTTAGCTGATTAATTTATGATGTGGTAGTAATAAACAAAATAATACAGGAATAAGCTAATATAAACATTAATTTCCTTATTTTGAATTACTATTCAAATTATCTGAAAATTCTATTTCTCAGTAAGTGGTTACTGCTTTATGAAATATCAGTAATAAGTAACAAAGAAAATGGTTTAGGTAAATGAGAATTCAATACACTACCAACTTTCCTGCTGCATGAGTACCCTTGTTTTGGACAAGCAGGAAGCATCATTATCAAAGGCCCTTCTGATAATTCCACTGCCATTCTTATACCTGTAGATGATTAAAAGAAAGTATAAAAAAAAGAGCACTCAGTGACTCATAGTATAGCAGAAGCCCCTTAAAACATTTTTCTTCCTCTAGTACAAATGGTTGACAATGGGGGTCTTCAAAACATGATTCAACTATTTCTTAGGATTTCTATATATATATTTCTAAGAAAATAACCTTTCAGTGATACCCTTCAAATTAAAAACAGGGTGCATTAAAAGCAAAGCAAAATCATGTTCAATAGAAATAAGTTTTTTCCACTCACTATGAATTCAGGTATCAATAATATTAAAATTTGCTTCTTTCATTAACACAACTACTGTGCTTAATTATTCTTACTTAGTTATTCCAGTTACCAAGGCAGTGTTCTAGCACATAGCTGAGTGTGTGGGACAAATTAGGAACTTGGTAATTGTTACATGAATGAATAAATGAAGAAACTATAAATCCTTAGGAAGAAAGGCAATAAATCCACTTTTTTTTTTCTTCACATAGGCCTTGTTTCAGGACAATCATTACATGATCTGAGGCCCTTACTTTGACAATATTACATTTTAACTTAGAGATGAAGAACTTAGATGGTATATAGCTCTCATTCGTTCAGTCCATTTACTTTCATCATCTAGGAGAACTTCATTTTATCGTAGAGTGTAAGACCCCAATTTATAATGATTCTCAGAGTAACAATATTTTTAACAGTATGAAACTAAAAGAATATTTGACGTTAGTTTTGGGGATTATAAGGCTGTGAGTGAGAATAACTTTATGCCCCACTTCAGGTAATTCATATGTCATAGGAATTAGCAATCTAGCTATTGTCTTTCCTAAAAAAAATAAATTAACTAACAAATATTCAGAGAGTATATATTGAGCCAAAGGACCTATTAGGAAATATAAAAAAGGGTAAGGTGTAGACATCTGAATAGTTGATGGTAAAATATCCCCCTTAAAAAAAAATCTTTTCAAGATCAAGGTGGCAATAATATATAAAGATGGAATGTCCAAGAAAGGAACTTTATAAATGTTCCCATCTGAGACATGGATACAGCAGTCATGCTGAGCCCTTGAGGGGATCTTGAATCCAGTGATCTGATTAAATCTGTATGTTTAAAGGGGAAAAAAACCCCAAAACTCCTCTGGAGATCATACGGATAAAGGACTATAGTTAACAAGACCGTTGTGTTGTATTATTTTCTTTGTACATGAAAGCTAGTGAAACCTGCTAAGTTGGGTTATAGAATCAATAAAGTAATTAAAGTTAGACTGAATCTTATAGAAACAGTGTCAGCTGCTACCTTCTCTTATACAAAGGATACCAAAAAGCCTCCGCTTCTTTCACATATTCCCCCCCATGGAAGGATCTCCCACACTCACGCTTGAGTTTTTTTACTAGAAGCTAGAGCCTTTTATTCATTTCACAATTAGAGATAAAAACTAAAAGTAAATGCCCTGAGAATCAACACACTGACTTAAAATCACATCAGCTTGTAAAATGCAGGTATCGAAGCTATGCCCGAGATCCAGTTTTGATAGGTACTGTGAGGGGAAAGCAGAAGGGTACTTAGTACCTGTAATAAGAAGAGGCAATTAAAAGAAAGGGAGTGGGGGATGCAGAAAAGGGAGGTTAAGAACTAAAAAAAAACCCCAATTATTTCAACGTTCTATCCTTGGGGTGGCTCCAGAAGAGGAACTGCAGAGAAGAAGCATTTTCTTAGGACGTACTAGTAAATCCAATTTAATGATTACTTCTTGCTAACCTATATCATTATAACAAAAATTATAGATGATGAAGAGTATCAGAAAGTTAGTATCACAGCAAATGCTGAGGTAAATTACCTCTTGAGTAACTATATTAACAGAGAGAAGCGGGATGATTATAAAATAGCACTATAAAGTGCTAGACTTCTTAATTATATTTGTTCATTTTATGCTTAAAGTAATAAACTACACTAAAATGTTTATTAGATTAAATGTAATGTGGTATTCAGGATTGAGTCCTGGAACAGAAAAAGGTTATTGTTGAAAAAAACTAGTGAGATCAAATAAAGTCTATAGTTTGGTTAAGAGCACTGTAGCAACATTAATTTCCTAGTTCTGACAAATGGTTATACAAGACGTTAACTTTAGGGCAAGCTGAGTAAAGGGTATATAGGACTCTGGGCTATCTGTAACTTTCCTGTAAATTTAAATTATTCCAAAATAAAATGATTATTAGAATGCTTATTAGTTATTTTTATTAGAATAACTCTAGTTTACAACATTAAAAATATCAAATTGTATGTATGCCACTGGCTCATTTGAGACTATCGCTTATTATGCAAAATTCTCTAGTGCCTGAGTTTAATGGTTTGCCTGTACTTTAATCTGAGCAGCCATGGGGAAGGCATTCTATCCACTCAGTGGCAGAACTAATAATAGTTTCTGTCAGTAATGACTTATGCATCAGGGTCATTTCACCTCATGTTCATTTTAGCCGAACATTTAAAGGGGACGATTTACATTTCATGTTTCTTTTACTATTACTTATCTATTACTTTTTCTTTTACTGGTAACCAGAGCTGTAATAAATATTTCAGGGACTGATGGTGTTTTGTTCAAGAAAAATATTATGTTTTCTTATTTGTTTATAGTACCTAATGTTCCTCAGTATTTTGAGATGTTTTTATATCAACTTCCCATTTATTTTTATCTGCTGTTATTATGTTCCCATGTAAATGTTATGACAAGGAAAACAGTTTGGGCTTGTGTTCACTAATAAAAAAAATAAACCTTAGAAAATAAATAAACAGATTGGGCTCAGCATAATTCTGAGATTGTAAGACCTAGTAAAGATAATAATCCAAATGGCAGCAAATGTTATTAAGATTAAACTAAACACCTACTTAGTAACAACCTAATTTCTTCCTTCCTTCCTTCCTCCCTCTCCCTCTCCCTCCCACTCCCTCTCTCCCTTTCTTTCTTTCTTTCCCCTGCCGCGTGGCTTGTGGGATCTTAGTTCCCTGACCAGGGGTTGAACCCGGTCCCTCGGCAGAGAAAGCGCCGAGCCCTCACCACTGGACCGCCAAGGAATTCCCATCCTAATTTCCTGATTAATTAATCATTACAGGTTAAGTGACAATTATAGTTTTATTGATGGGGGTGGGGTAGAGGGAGGTTCAGTAGCAGGAAGGGAATCAAGACTGAAAGGGACGGTTCTTACACCGTGTATTTCCTAACAATTACTGTCATAAGTGAGGGGTAGAAATAGGAGAAGGATTCTCAGTTTTGAGTTCAGAAAGATTATTAGGCTGGCAGCGTAGTGCAGGGCCGCCTAGCAGGGCTGTGTACCTCTGTCCACCGCGCGAGGGCAGCGGGAGACGGGGTGGGTGGGGCGGACGGAGACCCAGTCACTCTGCTGGTCCTGCCCAGCTCGAGAAAAGGGAATCTAATTCTCACAAAGGCGCGCTGCAAATGAGAGTTGAATAATGACCCATAGTATCTACCGGACCCCTAGAAGCTACTATCTAACAAACAGTTGCAAGATTCCTTCCCCACAGAACACAGTGAAATTCTTACAGATCTCAGATCCTGACCTTTGGGTCCCAAATTTTAAATTCATTGTCTCTTGGAAGATTTTGCTGGATATTACTCAGCTGGTCAATGAATTAACAGCTTTTTTCCCAGTTGAGTTTCTGAGTCTTTTACGAGTTTGCTTTTACTGTCCGTGGGAGGTGTTTTGTTTTGTTTTTCCACTCTGCTTCGCCGAGAGTAAAGATTGAGGTATCTTGTGGTTTCCTTAATTAGCATAAAAACTCCTCCAAGGCAGTAGAGTCTCCAGTGCCATCCTATTCAAAATATTCCTGAGGCAGCTACTCCGCACCTGACTGTCCCCTGTCACATTGCCGCTCAACATTTCCTCAGCGTTTCACTCCGCTTGCTTCTTAACAGACACCACCTTCCCCTTCCCGTGGGGCACAGCAAAACGCATGCGCACGTTTCCGTGAGCGCGCGCGCCTTACGGCCGCTGAGGCTAACCTGCGGCAGCGTGCGGATATGAAATAGCAGTGGCGGGTGGTGGTGACGTTAGAAGAGCGCGCCGCACTTCGGTGCGAACAGCTTCCGCGGGAGTGAATTCTCGACCGTCGCGGGCATGGTGAGCTGCAGTCGGGTGGTGCTCAGAAAGGTCCGTGATTGGTGCCCCTCAGCCTGATGTCCGACACCTGGTGCCTCTAGCCCCACTTGAGGGCTCTGGTTCTCCTTCGCCTCCATCCCTCCCCACTGTTTTCTTCCTGGGGGCCTCTTTCCTGCTTTTCTACCATAGTCCTCTCCTTTTCGCCCCTCAGGGAGTCGGGCTTGGCCTGTAAGGGGTGAGAAGGGCGTGTCTAGTCTACCGGGCATGGTTAGGACGGTTGTTTGGAGCAGGGTTTGAGATTTTTCAAGGGAATTGTGCGCACGTGGGATGAAGAGCTGGGGTAACTGCCTTCTGTTTATACATGCAATACGGTGTATGTGAAGTGTAGGTTTGACTTTTTCTTTTGGCTCAAATAGTGTATTTTCCTCCTTTTAAATAATAATATCCATAACTTGTTTTTACATATTTTTTCGTTGAGTGCATTGTTATTAAGAGCTTTCTAAAGACAACTTTTCATCAGTAAACGAAAATAGGTAACTGACTTGCCTTCTTGCAAGAAACTAGGTCAGCTTTTGTGCAATGCTTTTGTGCATTTCTGTAAAAAATTTACAGTTGCTTTTCAAATTTAAAAACCTCTTTAAGATCCTTACTAGCAATGTTTTTTGAAACCTGCCGTCATCAGGTTTGGTCATTACCTTATTACTAAGGACGAGATTGAGATATTACTTTTAAGTTTGAGTTCTAAATCTATGAACCTGATAAATCTAGAGCAGTAAAAAATGTGTCACATATTGAAAGGAACTTCAAAAACAGGAGGTTTCTTTTTGTCGGAGGAAAGGCATGGTTAGTAATACCATGGTTAGTAAAGTTTTACTTTATTCAACCCTCTATTTTCCAGAAAATAGGTGGTCAGAAGAAGAGAGACTTGAGAAGGATAGTACTTGGGCATATAGGATAACTAATCTGTAAGCTAAAAAAATGAACTACTGCATTTTTTGCTGGATACGTTTTTAAATGCTAACTGTGTAACTTTACTGCCATAACAGTCACTTCCAGTCAATGTTGTTTGCAAGGGGAATCTACCTCTTCACTTACCTGTGATGCATTTCTGATCTAGCTCTACCCAGCCAAAGCATAAGTTTGTCAGCCTCCAGAGAAAAATACTCTGGCTTGCCCTTAAGTTCATGTTTTGTATATTCCTTCCACCCTTACAATACTCTGTTTCGTGATTATATTTGCATACTCGCTTTGAATCTTTGCTGTGTAACTATCCACTGCAATCTCAAGTCTAGACAGATTTATCAGAATCAGCAAAGGAGCTTTTGATAAATGTGCTGGCTTACCCTATTCTCATCCCCTCCTCCAGAGTATCAGAATGGTCAGTGGAGTGTATGCATTTTTGAAAAAAGTTCCCAGATGTTTTCGATACTTAAAACTATCCTAAATGATTAAAGATGTGAAGATTATGCATTTAAGAAATTACTTTGTGAGGAATTTTGACAGCCCAGGGCGTTAAAACATAGGATCTTACCTGCAAGAAGTTCTTGATTTAGTGAGGGAAACAGAAATAAACCCTAAATACAGTGTATGATTTCTAGAGATCTAATAATAGAGATATAATCCAATTACTGAGAGCCCAGGAAAATCAATGGTAAGTGTTGGTTAAAGGAATTAAGAAAGACATCGGAAAATATGACATTCAGGTGGGTTTATGATAGAAAAGAACAAATGACATTGTAAGTAGATGAAAAAGCATGAGCAGAATGCCATGGAGAAGTGACAGTATATTGTGTAGCATAGAGCAAAGAGAGGAAGAGGATATAGGAGGGGTTGAATGAATGGAAATGAAATGTGAAGGGTAGGTTAAGAGATTTGAATATAGCATTGAGAATTTTAGACTTTATTTCATAAACAGCAAAAAACCATGAATGGTTTTTGAGTAAGGGAGAAACATGTTGAGAGATCAGATCCATTGTCAGAAAGATCGCTCAGGCAGTGAGACAGAGGATGTGTTGAGGAAGGAATGACTAGACATTGAAAGACCAGTTAGGAGCTAATGTAATGATCAAGATACTAGGGTAGTTAGTTGTGCCAAAAAAGGAAAGATAGTAGGGCTTCGAGAAGAGAAGCAGGTATAGTCTAAGATCCCCATGTGTGGTCTCAGTGAGTAGATAAACTATCGTTTCATTATTTGTGAGAACATTGGAGGAACAAAATTTACCTAGGGAAAAGTTTGGTTTTGTTATATAACATGTATTTAGGTGACTATTATCCTTTCAATACCTAAGAAGTTATATATTTGAGGGGTTTCAAATATAAGTTAAATACTGATCTCGTTCTCAGTTGCTTTAGACTATTAAGCTCACATCTGGTGGAGATGTCCAACTAACTGGGATAGAGAATATCTCACCTAGGTGATAGTTACTGGTACAAACTGAGATCACCCCGGGGAGAAAGTCTAGATTGAAAAGTGGGCCAGTGTCAGAGACCTTCAGGATTGGAAGGACAACAATTGATAGTGAAAAACAGGGTCTTAAGAGAGTTAATCTAATGGGAAAGTGAGGTCAGACAGGAGGTAAACTAAGTAAAGACAATAAATGTGGCATACGGAAAGCCATTTTTTTTTTTTAGGAGTTTTAGTGGCAACAAAGAACTAGAAAGGAATTCAAAATTGGTAAGCGCATGTGGTATACAAATGTCCTCTTTCTCTTTTTAAGTATGGAGACTTCATTGATAACCTGAGACTCTTCACCAGGGGAGGAAGTGGTGGAATGGGCTACCCTCGCTTAGGTGGAGAAGGTGGAAAAGGTGGTGACGTCTGGGTTGTAGCCCATAACAAAATGACTTTAAAACAACTTAAAGATAAATATCCTCAGAAACGGTTTGTGGCTGGAGAAGGAGCAAACAGTCGGTAAGTATTTAACTGAATGTTTTGTATGAAATTAATTGTCCCCGGAAGAAGAAAAAAAAGTTGAGATAAAAATTTAATTGGTAATTTGAAGTAAATAATATCCTGGATTTGTAACTGAGCAAAAATCTACTATTTTTGTCTCTAGTAAATATAAAAGATAGGTACTATGGAATGTTTTGACGTTTTTAAACTTTTTATCCTTTTCTTCTCCCAGTGTCTGTTTATATTCTTTTATATTTCCTTTGTAGAACCAGAAAATGATCTGAATCCCCACTGTTTTCTTCTAAAATGATCTTTGACAGTCTTTAGGAAACTTTCTAGAATCTTAACTGGCTACTCCACCCCACTGCCACCCATAGTTCTGCCAGCATCTTGTAGGCAGTACTTAAAATTTAGAGCCTGTTTGCTGCTACATCTCTTGAATGTTTTCCTTTTGACTCTGTTTTAATTTTCTCTCTGACAGCAAAATCTTCCCTTTGTTTTTTGTTAATGTTTGCTATTTTCTGTGGAACATATTATGTTGACCTCAAAATATGAGAAGAATTTTTTCTTTCATTGTAAAGAAAACAAAGAAAAAAAATTCTTAAAGCTTCCATCAAAATGCAGTCTATGGTTCCTCAGGCCTCTGTCATTCTGTTGTTCCTTAGGAGGTGTTGGTATAAAAGTTAGGCTTTCTGTTCCTTTTTTCTTTCCCCTTCCCAAGGAAGTGTTTGGGTATATTTTTTTGTCACAGTCGTAGAGGATGGAATGTGTCACTTGCTTGGGGGATGAGTGTAAGCAAAGGATACAGCCTGGATATAGGCTAAACACCCTGTAACGCAGGGTGAGGAATGCCCCCAACAACAACAAATTATCCTGCCCCAAATATCCAGCAGCATCCTCTGCTGGTAAAGGAATCCTTGGAGAAACCCCTTAAATTTCTTTTGAGCATTTTTGTTTATGAATAGTCTTTACAGGGCAAATTTTGAGAGCCCTATATTAGAATTCAGTAATCAAAGCTTTAAGATCAGAATGTTGTTTTATTATTTTGATGTTACAGGTAGAAAATAACTGCAGTTTATATCCTAAAGTAAAATTTTTCATCATTTTATAATTTCTTTTGAAAATTAAGGTTGCTGTGATTCCAACCTTATTCTGTGTTTAGATAAGTGGTATGCTAAAGATGGTGTATAACGTTTAAATGTTAAGAAAGATTTAAATAGAACAGTTACTGCGATTGTGTGTTGGAATTTTTAGAATGTAGAGGCTTAAATCTAAAGGATCAATAGGAGCCAACTGGATGAAGGGGAGGAAAAAGCATTACAGGAAAGAGATATTGGAAATAACATAAATTATTTTGTCATTCATCTATTTAGGTTTTTTTTTTTTTTTTTTTTACTGTTATTGTCACAATGCAGTACACATCTTTGTGTATATAATAGTTTACATGGTTGTTCAATTTTTTTGTTTTGTTTTTTTTAGGATAAATTCCCAGAAGTGGAATTACTAGTTAGAAGCTTGTACCACTTTATCCTCTCTTGAGCAGTTTAAGAATCGCCATATGAGCCTCCTATAATTAAAGTACTCTCGTTTCAGGTCATTTTTTAAAAAGCCTTGTTATTCACTGGATTTTCCATTTTTTTTCTAGTTTATTCATGTTGCAATGATCTCTTCCTTTCAAACGTACAATATTTTAGTTCATTATGAGTTAAAATGACTTTTGGTAGTTAGCTTAGTAACAAATCATTACTTAATATTATTTTTATTGAGATACAGTAGTCTAAAATGCAAATAAATAAATAGGGATAATTGTATTTTTTCTCCATTATTTGGCCATTTAACATCTGCATTATAAGAATTGGTTGCTAGTCTTCTTTGTATACCATTGTATTTGCTTGAAACATCAACCATTTAATCTAGCAGATTTTCTTTATGTTAATTTAGCTTTATTTTTTTTTTTTTATAGAGTTAGCGCACTGAAAGGCTCCAAAGGAAAAGACTGTGAAATTCCTGTACCTTTGGGTATTTCAATAACTGATGAAAATGGTAAAATTATAGGTAAGTGTATTGTAGATTCTAAGGTTGTGAAAAATGTGCCCGTTTTCTAAAATTGAGATCTGTGGGGAATAGCACCTCTTAAGTTTCAGGATTTTTTTTAAACATTAAGTATTTTAGCTGCTAGTTTATAAAACAGCTTTTAAAAACATTATATAACAGTTCAGAATTAGCTGCTAGATTTAAAATTATTTTAAAGATGTAAGAGTATTTACTCGGTTTTAAAACAAATAACTAGCATTTTTTCAACCACTTGCAAAAGTGTTTTCTTGGAGTCAGATTTTTAATAGAAACTTGATGCTATCGTTTAGCCCTTTAGATTTGTAAACTGGAATTTCCTGGCATCTGTTTCTGAAAGAAAAATGTCATTAGTGATTAGCTCCACTTACTAATCTTTGCTTTAAGTATCTTTATCTCTCTTTTTAAGGAGAACTCAATAAAGAGAAAGACAGAATTTTGGTAGCTGAAGGAGGTCTTGGTGGTAAATTACTTACAAATTTCTTACCATTGAAAGGCCAGAAACGAGTAATTCACCTTGATCTAAAACTTATAGCTGATATAGGCTTGGTAGGGTAAGTATCATTTATATTTTTATTTTTATACTTTCAGAGAGATAGTTCATGAATAGGAAGTAAATATAAATGGTAATTTGGGGCTAGCATTATTTCTAGTTCATGGAATTTGTGTATTGTTTGTGTACTTTAAGAAAATGCTGCTTAAAAAAAAAAAGAATATGCTGCTAATATTGCCAACATAGAGTTTCATAGTCACTATTCATTTGTCGAAGATCATAGCAATTGAATAGGGCAGTGGAAATGTTAGAAAATAAATAAACACAGAAAAGTCAATCAAATACAAAAGAATGTTACCAAGTATTAAAGAATAAAATTAGAAATCCAAACAAGCCACATATTAAAAAGTGTATGGAAGGAAATAAAAAGTAGGGGAAAAATGACCAAGATATTCTTACAAGTCTTAATAGAGGTATTGAAGTATCATTAATCAGATGGCTAAAGGCCGGTACAGATGATCTCAACCATCAACTTTACACACTATTGAGCACTAAGCTGGATCTTGCTATGATCGTTTCCCTATCCTTCACTCTCTGTTTAGGAGCTGTCCATTCTCAGTGCTGCAGACCTTCCAATGTTCTCCTCTTCCACCAGCCTCCATTCTTGCATCAAACAATGCTACTTAGCTGTAGGGTTTGCAGTGCTGGCACATAAATGGAGGGAGATAAATAGCAAGATAGAAAGTAGATAAAGGAAGGGAAAACTTCAGCTTTGCATGTCTCCTCTCCCTCTCTGTCTTCCTCTCCCAAGTCCCACTATAGCATTACACAATAGTCAGATGGAAGGCCTTGGGAAAAGGGAGGGGAAACTGCCGCTCTACTCCAGCTGCCAGTTCCATGCCTTGCTTTTCCATAGCTTCTTTCTAAGCTCTTTCATCTTCCTCTTCCCGCATCTCACTGCTTCTTTACCACACTCTTCACTCTGAATCCCTCACCTCTTTCCATGCCTGTTTAGGTCTTACCAGCAGTGGCTTAGAGTTCACAGAGGCCTCATTCCTGCTGAAATTGTAACAGAGAAAGATGTGATCCTGGCATTTAAGCTTGCCATTCACATTTAATATTTTCAATGAAACATAGTTATGAGGGTTATGAGTCATAGGTTCTGTAATACTATATATTTTTAGGAACATTATGGACTTAATAGGGTTTTGTGGATAAGACTGAGAATCCAGCCATTCACTTTCTTATTTTGTAGGAAAATGTGTTTCAGGTTCCATAGAGACACCTTTACAGCCTAAGAAGAACATAGCAAGGCTGAGTAGTGAATAGAAGTGGGATGGCGATGGCAGACTCAAGTGAGACTGTTTGGGTTAGAATCTCAAATCCTCTGGAGGCTGGCTGGGTGGTTTTGGATACAGTCTCTCTAAAGCCTTTTTTTTTTTTTTCTCATCTTTAGTAGTGGATGGCAGTAGTTCTCACCTTAAAATGTTATTGCTGAGTAAGATATTGCATTTGCAGCATAATACATGCCTTGGATTTATGAATGCTCAATGAATGAATGGTAGCTGCTATTATCATCATCATTGCCAACTTATTGGAGACCACATATACACTAAGCTTTTCAGAAGTGGACTTGATATTAGTCAATAGCAAGCATCGTGATTCTAGAGCACAATGTTTAACATGTATGCTAGTGCTTTTAAATTAGGTAACTATTCTTAAAAAGTTGCTAATGTGAATACCAGCATAAGCAGATGTCCTTTTAGCCGATTTCAGGAATGAACTGAACATTAGAAGAAAGGTATCATATAACTAATACACTTGTACTGCTGTTTTCAAATCTGGTCTTTGCATAGGTTGGATTTCAGCCTCTAAAATTTTCATTAGGTACTTGTCAATAAAAATCTCAGGTATCTGTTCTTCACCTGGTAGCTTCCTTTTTCTTCTTGTATTTTGATATCTTTGGAAATAGTTGCTTGCATTTTTCTGTGTTTAATCATTGTTATGAAAATATGAGGATATTAGAAAGAAATAAGCAAGTCCAACTAATGATAATCATGGCAAAAATGATTGCAATTTGCTTTTCAAAAAGTTACAAGAGCCTAAGTGTAACAGGATATAAGAAAATACTGTATTTCTAGGGGAAACGAGTCATTAAGAAATCTCACATAGTTTTATTCTAAATTTATTATAGAAATATTTTAATGAGAAAAATTGTTTAAAGATCTCCATTAAGAGCATATACATTTTTATAGAATTCCAAATTAATATTTGTAAAATATTGCATCATTATTCCAAATGAAAATGTGGCAGAGTTTTGAAAAATCTTGATTTGAATGAAAACTGTGAAGACAGGGATCACGTCTGTCTTATTGATTGCTATATTTCTCCTGCCTAGTATATTGCCTGGCCCAAGGCAGTGCTCAATAAATATTTGTTGGATAATTTTTTTAAATTGAGATATAATTGACATATAACATTATATAAGATTCAGGTGTACAGTGTAATGATTTGACATTTGTATATGTTGCAGAATGATCACCACCATAAATCTAGTTAACATCTGACACCATGTATAGTTACAAATTTTTTTTCTTGTGATGAGAACTTTTAAGATTTACTCTCTTAGCAACTTTAAAATATACAATATTATTATTATTTTTTTTTTTTTTCGGTACGCGGGCCTCTCACTGTTGTGGCCTCTCCCGTTGCGGAACACAGGCTCCGGACGTGCAGGCTCAGCAGCCATGGCTCACGGGCCCAGCCGCTCTGCGGCGTGTGGGATCTTCCCAGAGCGGGGCATGAACCCGTGTCCCCTGAATCGGCAGGCGGACTCTCAACCACTGTGCCACCAGGGAAGACCTACAATATTGTATTATTAACTATAATCACCATGCTGTACATTATATCCCCATGATATTTTTTTTACAACTAGATTTTTTTTTTTTTTTTTTTTTTTTTGGCCACACAATGTGGCTTGCGGAATCTTAGTTCCCCAAACAGGGATCGAACCCAAGCCCTCAGCAGTGGAAGTGCAAACTCCTAACCACTGGCCTGCCAGGAAATTCCCCACAACTGGATTTTTTTTTTTACCTTTTCACCACCTTTGCCCACTTTGTAACCCTCTCCCCCCACCGCTGACACACACACACACACACACACACACACACACACACACACACACATATTTTCTGTATGCATTCATCCATTGATGGACACTTAGGTTGCTTCCACATCTTGGTTGTTGTAAATAATGCTGCAGTAAACATGAGGTGCATATATCTTTTTGAGTTAGTGTTTTTGGTTTTTATTTTTTTTGGATAAACATCCAGAAGTGTAATTGCTGGATCATATGGTAGTTCTATTTTTAAGTTTTTGAGGAACCTCCATACTGTTTTCCATAGTGGCTGCACCAATTTACATTCCCATTGGTTGAATAAATTTAATGAAAATATCTGAATGAAATTTAGGAAATCATCTCTTAAGTGGCCCCCATTCCTAGTACTTTCTTTCATCCATTGTGGGCCTTTCTTGAGGGATATTTAGCAATAAAATCAAGGCCTTTAAAACAGCCATGTAGTTTAATCTAGTATTTCCTTATCTAGAAATTTACCTCAAGAAAGAAATTAAAGGTATATGTAAAGGTTCACTTCAGCGTTTAAAGTTTTTTTAAAAAAGCTTGACAGGGCTTCCCTGGTGGTGCAGTGGTTGAGAGTCTGCCTGCCAATGCAGGGGACACGGGTTCGTGCCCCGGTCTGGGAAGATCCCACATGCCACGGAGCGGCTGGGCCCGTGAGCCGTGGCCGCTGAGCCTGCGCTTCTGGAGCACGCAACGGGAGAGGCCACAACAGTGAGAGGCCCGCATACTGAAAAAAAAAAAAAAAAAAAAAAAAAAAGCTTGACAAATAATTAGCGCTCATTTGCAGAAAGAAAAAAAAGAGTTGAATGTTAAAATCGCACCATTTGATGTTAAGGTGACTTAACATTGGTGTATGTCTTTCTAGCTGTATGCGTATTTTTTGCAGAGTCATTTATAACAGTAAAAAATTTGAGACCACCTAAATGCCTAACAATAAGAAATTAGTTAAGTAAATTGCACTACACCCTTGAAATGCATTCACCTTATATAATTCAGTTTAAAAGGAGGCCGACCAACTGTGAATAGTCTTTCAGCAAAAAACGGAATCAAAGCTGAATCTGATCAAGGCTTCATATCTACCAATTTATAGGAGCATGTTAACTGACATCATGGGCATTAGCAGAAAAATCCAGACTATGGCAAAGAAGCTACAGGACAAATGGCCCAGTTTCTTTAAAAATAAAATTGCAAAGGGGAAATACCTGGAGAGGGAGCCGGTACCAAAAGAAATTTAAAAGGCACATCAACCAACTGTAATATGCAGACCTTATTTGGGTCTCTGTTTAAAGAAACCAACTTTAGAAAAATTATTAAGAATGTATCAATATTTGTTTAAGCTAGGTGATGGCTAAATAGGATTCATTACTTTGCTAGTGAAATGTCCATATAAAATGTTTTTTTTAAAAAATACAAAAAACAATATAAGAAATATTTTGTCAGTATTTGGCTAGAGATAGTGAATTGCAGGTATTTTTATTAGTTTCTTTATGTTTTTCTATGATTTACAAGCTGTTTTTTTAACATTATTTGATTTACTGTCAATACTGAAACATCCTTAGTGTTCACCATAAATTTATCTTTACCTTTTCTATAAGTATATTTTGTTCCTCAAGTTTTTCAAGATTATTTTAAATTTATAGTCTACTTTTAATCCCAGCAATATTCAAGAAGTCTGCTTCTTGAAATGTTAGGAATTCAGAGATAAGAAAGTATTTATAATGCTGATATTTGTTGTAATGTATAAATTTATTTTCTTGTTTCAGATTCCCAAATGCTGGAAAATCCTCTTTGCTAAGTAAGATTTCTCATGCAAAACCTGCAATTGCAGATTATGCATGTAAGTATAATTTGCTTTGTTTTTTTAATGTGTAGAGGCAAATTTTTAAAGACTAATCTTTCTTTGAGTGTGAAAAAAATGATAACTGGGGTAACCTTAGTTTGAAAACTCTTGGCAGACAGAGTACGTGTATTTCCCATTAATCTTTGAAACCTTTATAGCTCTCAGCAAAGTTCCTAGTACTGCTTATTAGACACTTTGTTGCATTTATTTGTCTATTGTATAATCATTATTCAGTTTAGTTAACAATTTTATGAGCACCTACCCTTTATCAAACACTGTGATAAATGCTACAAAGGCAGAGATCAATTCTTTCATTCATTTAGCAAGTATTTATTTCTAGGAACTATCAATAACAATAAATTCTGGAGTTACAAAGGCTGGTAAGCAGAAGTGAATACTTCTTTTGTTTTGATTTTTATTGAACTTACAGACAAGTGGGGGAAGGCACATATCTCACTAATGAATATAAGAGAATATAATATGGTTCTATGTAAGAGTGTAGGTGACTGCTTTAGATTTCTTTGGGGAAGTGTGATGGTGGGGCTGAGATATGAGCAATAAATATGAGTTAATTGGTGACAGACAATGGAGGTGAGAGTCTTTCAGTCAAAGGAAATAGCATGTACACAAAGACTCTGGTGGCAGGGAGTAGATTTGTTTGTCTAGAGAACATGTAGTAAGGGGAAGAGGGAATCAAGATGAGGCTAGAGATGCAGGTGGAGACCTGTGATATAGGCCATATAGGCTGTATTTGATCTCTGTGGCTTAAGAGCAGTTGATAGCTTTTTAACAAGGGAAAACAGTGATTAGATATGCTTTTCAAAAAAGATCTATTGGCGTGTAATGTAGAACATGGATTGGTGTGGGACATAAATGGATCTGGAAAGAACAGTTAGTAGAACTGGCTATTGCAGTAGCTGGATGAGATATAATGGAAGCTTAGACTAAGAGTAGTGAATAAATATGATAGGATCTTTGCCATCATTAAACAAAATGGCACAGAATGACATTAACATGGAAAATAAAATTAAACCATTCTAAAATTGATAAAGTAGAGTTAATTTTGTACTAACTGCTATAAATCACATGGCCAATATTTATTGTTACAATACAGGGGATTCTTGAGAAGGAAAGAAGAAAAGCAAAAAGTCCTAGGAAGGAGGCTAGGGCAGGATTGATGAAGCGTGAGGATAACTAAATGAGAAAGGACCATAGAGAGATTTCACCCACAGCCCAAGTGATAAAAACCTAAATTCTGCCCCCACCCTCAGCACCTTTACCATGATTCTTAAAGTTTGAGACAGGGACTTTGAGGCCCACTAATTAAATTACACCTGTGCTTTCGAAGATTATAAAAATCTATATTTTGTCCTTTTCCAAGTATATGATAAATAGCAAAGATAATTATACCTTTAATTTCAACAAATGAGAACATAATCTGAATTAGGTTGTTCACAGAAACGAAATATTATTTATTTTATACATGACGCTAAGACAATTTTGAGAGTATAAACCTTTATTCTAGCCTCAATTTATTATTGTTTTTCTTTTAGTTACAACATTAAAGCCTGAACTCGGAAAAATTATGTATAATGATTTCAAACAGGTGGGTATTTTTAAAATAAGACACTTGGTTAGTAATGAAAGTACTTGCCTTAGTGCTTAGATTTTATAATATTTGGGAGTTTCTGTGGTGTTAGGGGGAAAAAGTAGCAAGATTTTGTTTTTGATAAGTGAAACCATGATCAAATCAATTATGCTGACCACTATCAGAGTAAAAATATTGTATTACAATATAATTTCTTGTTCTTCTAAAGTTTGGGTCTAGTTTGTCGTTACAACATTTATTGTATCTTAATTGCCTTAATCAGTTTGTCCTCATTGCAAGTCCATATTTTACTGCCATATTTGATTATTGATTTTCATTTCCTAAAAACATTTTCTAAAGTTCATGGATGTAATTTTACTCCAACTTACTTTTTAAAAAAAAATTTTTTTTAATTGAATGGGATCCTCGTCTTAACTAGCTATTAAAATTTATTTTTCCCTGCTACGGAAGAACTTTTGAATAATTAGAATAAAAACAAATTAAAAAGGAAAGTAACAAAATTTTAAAAATGTTTAATGTATGATCAGCAGGTGCATCCCTTGGTATTTACCCAAATAAACTGAAAACTTATGTCCACTCAAAAGCCCGCACACGGATGTTTGCAGCAGCTTTGTTCATAATTGCCAAAACTTGGAAACAACCAAGATGTCCTTCAGTAGGTGAATGGATAAATAAACTGTGTACATCTCAATAATGGAATGTCATTCACACTAAAAAGAAATGAGCCATCAAGCCATGAAAGGACACAAAGGAACCTCCAATGTGTATTACTAAGTGAAAGAAGCCAATCTGTAAAGGCTACATACTGTATGATTTCAACTATATGTCATTCTGGAAAAAGGCAATACTATGGAAATAGCAGAAAGGTCAACGGTTGCCAAGGATTAGGAGGAAAGAAAGGTTGAACAAGCAGCACACAGGATTTTTAGGGCAGCGAAACTATTCTGTATGATACTAGATACATGTCATACATTTGTCAAAACCCATGGAATGTGTAAAACCAAGGGTGAACCCTAATGTAAAGTATGGGCTTAAAGTGATGATGTATCAGTATACTTTCATATAATCCATTGACATAATTCAAAAGACATAGAAGATGTATATTTATAATAGTGGTATAACAGTAAAAATTTTTTAAAACTTCGACAATTATATAGAATGTTAAATAATAATTAAAATTATAAGTACAGGATAATATGAATTTAGAGAACAATATTTAGAGGAAAAGACAACATTATTGGTAATTTTTAAGGGAAATCAGTAGAAAACCTCTGAAGAGAATTTCAGGACATGAGACCTACATGTACATTGCTTTGTCACATAGCTCCAACTTTCTTTAAAACTGAAATTTTTAACCACACAGGCAGTATGTGTAGAGCAGTGTTTCTCATCCCTTACTGTACATCAGAATCATCTGGGTAGCTTAAGAATAACAATGATAAATGAAGCCTGGGCCCCAGTGATTTGAAACCAAACCCCTTGGGGATAGGGCTTGAGCATCTGTAGTTTAGAAAAGTTTCTTAGATAATTATGATGTGCAGTGAGGTTTGAAAGCCACAAGTGTAGAATAATGGTTAGTAACTCTTATAACCTCCAAAAGGAGTATAGTAACACTATTTCCCTTACTTTTTAAGAGTGGTTAATAGTTCTGGTAGAATATGAACAATAAAGAAACAATGGTACCAAATAACCATTTACATATAGAATAAAACTTAAAACTACAGAGCTATACTAAGTCAATGTCTTCTGAATTAATATCCTTGTATATTTTTTTAAGAATTTAGAAAATTGAAATTCTTTGAAAAGTTCATACTGAACAATATAATTTATGGAATTCTAGAAAGAATTTATGTGATTAGTAAATGTTAAACTAAGCCATAAAATTCCTAGATTGTTAAAGTAAAAAATGGGACTAATTTCTGATAACAAAGGACTTTGATTCTTAATACATTTATTTTGTTATAAAGGTATCCTGACTTTATAGAGATGCAGTGGTAATCACAAATTAAGAACTGTTTATAATTGAAATATCATGAAAATTGTTGGATGTAATTGTATTTGTGGGTTTCATTTTTTTTTTTTATTATCATGCCATTTAATTTTGTGTTAGATATCAGTAGCTGATCTTCCTGGTTTAATAGAAGGAGCACACATGAACAAAGGAATGGGCCACAAATTCCTCAAGCATATAGAAAGAACTAAACAACTACTTTTTGTTGTAAGTCATATGCATATCAATGTAATGTTTAAATGAACGTGAGAACCAGTGAATTTAGTTTTCCTAGAAATTTTTTATAATAATAACATTTAAAGATAAAGTAGCAGCATATATTATTCCACTAAATCTATTTAGATAGGGGTCAGATACAGTTAGTAATCTTTATTTATAATATGGGGATGGAAGTGGCATTGTTTACTATGTCAGATTAAAGTTTTGCCATACTTGTCAGGTTTAATTCATTAAGATTTTCAATATACTACTAAATTATATAGGATCAATTTCCTACTTCATTTCTGGTGTTCAGTTATATATGAGATTGTCTGTATTGGTATAAATTGTTTAATCTGTACTAGTTTCTCATTAATGATTGTGGTTTTATCAGAATAATTATAATTATCTTAAAACATCAGTTTCTCTCATTTCGAATTACTAAATTACCAGTAGAGTATAGATTGAGAAATTATTTTTAGCTTGAGCAAGTAAAACATTTCAAAACAGAATTGTATAGCTGTTGTTCTTATGTTAAAAGCAGTCTTTTTCCTTTTTTTTTTTTTAGGTTGATGTTTCTGGATTTCAGCTTTCTTCCCAAACTCAGTACAGAACTGCCTTTGAAACCATACTACTGCTTTCAAAAGTAGGTTTTCTGTTTTATATCTGGTCTAATACGTAGGCACATAGGACTGTATGGAATAACGTATGGTAATTCGAATAAATATGTAGTCTGCCTCTACCTTTTTTTTTTTTTTTTTTGCGGTACGCGGGCCTCTCACTGTTGTGGCCTCTCCCGTTGCGGAGCACAGGCTCCGGACGCACAGGCTCAGCGGCCATGGCTCACGGGCCCAGCTGCTCTGCGGCATGTGGGATCTTCCCGGACCGGGGCACGAACCCGTGTCCCCTGCATCGGCAGGCGGACTCTCAACCACTGCGCCACCGGGGAAGCCCTGCCTCTACTTTTTTTTTTTTTTTGCGGTACGCGGGCCTCTCACTGTTGTGGCCTCTCCCATTGCGGAGCACAGGCTCCGGACGCGCAGGCTCAGCGCCTGCCTCTACTTTTTAAAGCTTTGATGTTAATTAAAAAATTATCTAAATTTGCTGTCTCCAGTTTTGCGATGTTCACCTGTTCCTCAAACTGTTGTAATCATTAAAACCTTCCTTGATTCCAAATCCCTGTTACATACTTCTCAGACTGTATCTTGCTTAACTTTTATTCCTACTTCTTAGACTATTTCTCAGTCTACTTTTTAGGTTCTCTGATACTCAGATATTTTGCTATGTTTTAGATCAGCTGCCTATTGGACATCTTTGATTGGATGTCCCATTAACTTCTCAAATGTAATATGTATAGAACTGAACTCCTTTTTTTTTTAAATTCCCCAGCCTCCCCCAGAACTTTACTGAATATGTAAGCCAGAAACCTCGGTGGTAGTGATTCTATCTTTCTTACCACCTGTATCAAGCCCTGACAATTTTATATCCTAAATTTCTCTGAAATGCAACTACTTGTCTTCACCCACACTGTCATAATCATCAACCCCTCTTACTAGAATGTTCTAAGTCCCTCCAGCTTGTCTCCCTGCTTCCAGTCTTAGTTCTCTCCAGGCCATGTTTTATATCACAGCTAGAGTGATCTTTGTTAAAGAACCAAGCAAATGTTTGTTCCCTGCTTAAAACACTTTGATGGTCTCCCATTGCTGTTAGGTTAAGTCTAACATGAACATGGTTTACGAGGTCTGGCAAGGTTGGGTTCTTACCAAGCACTGTATCTCTATTGTTCTCCTCCCTCCCCCCACCCCTGGCCACACCCCATGCATTCTATATCCAGCCAATGATTTGTCTCTAACACAACATGATGTTGTTTATCTTCAGGACTTTTATATCCTATTTCATTTGCTACTTTTTGCCTGTTATTGATAACACTGCTGTGAACATTTGTGTACAGGTTTTTGTGTGGATATGTTTTCATTTCTCTTGGGTATATACCTAGGAGTGGAGTTGCTGGATAATATGGTTATTCTATGTTTAACATTTTGGGGAACTGCCAAACTTTTCCAGAGTGACTGCAGCATTATACCATTTTCCAATCTTATTAGCAATGTATGAAGTTTCCAATTTTTCCACTTTAATGTCAACACTCATTATTGTCTTTTTCTTTTAGCCCTCCTAGTAGGGATGAAGTGGTATTTCATTGTGGTTGTGGTTGTGATTTGCATTTCTTTTTTTTTTTTTTTTTTTTTGCGGTACGCGGGCCTCTCACTGTTGTGGCCTCTCCCGTTGTGGAGCACAGGCTCTGGACACGCAGGCTCAGCGGCCATGGCTTACGGGCCCAGCCGCTCTGCGGCATGTGGGATCCTCCCGGTCCAGAGCACGAACCCGCATCCCCTGCATCGGCAGGCGGACTCTCAACCACTGCGCCACCAGGGAAGCCCTGCATTTCTTTAATGAGAAATGATGTTGAGAAATGTGACTAATGATGTTGAGCATCTTTTTATGTGCTCATTAGGCATTTGTATGTCTTTGGAGAAATATCTATTCACATTCTTTGCCCATTTTTAAAATGGGTTGTCTTTTAATTGTTGAGTTGTAGGAGATCTTTAAAATTTAGATACAAATCCCTTATCAGATATATGATTTGCAAATATTTTCTCCTATTCTTTCAGTTGTCTTTTCACTTTCCTTAGGTTGTCTTTTGAAGTACAGAATTTTAAATTTTAATGAAGTCCCCTTTGTTTATTTTTTCTTTTGCTCATGCTTTTTGTCAGATATACGAAACCACTGCGTAATCCATAGTCACAAAGATTTACTTCTAAGCATACTTAACTTTTTCCAAGAATAATACAGGCATAGCATTAAGTTGTCACTACCTAGTTCTGAATTTTATTTATGTGCTTACTAGACGTCCAGATACCTGTATTTGGCTCTAGGCACAAAATCACAACAGTCTCTAGGATGTCATATGAGCTAAAATGTATTAACATATGACTTAACTAGTAAACATTTTCTGCATTTCCTTTGTTAATTAGTTTTGTGGTTATTGGGACTTACTGCATTTCAGAGGTGAGAATGGGCCCTAGATTACCCAGGCCTATAAAGTAAAGAAAGACATTACCAAATAGGTCATTTATATAGATATTTTAATAAAATTATTTTGTTTTTCTCTTTGGCTTAAAGGAGTTGGAGTTGTACAGAGAGGAACTTCAGACAAAACCTGCGCTCCTGGCAGTTAATAAAATGGACTTGCCAGATGCCCAAGATAAATTCCATGTACTGATGAACCAACTCCAGAATCCTAAAGGTAAACCCATTCATTCATTTAGTGCCAATTTAATGAATACCTGCTATTTGCAGAGAGTGCTAGGTACTATAATCAGTGGAAAAGAAAACTGAAAGTTGCTACTCTTAAAAAAAAAGTATGTTTGAAGAAAGAACACATACCATATGAAACTTCTAAATAACACTGTAAAAAATAATATCCCATTTCAGAATGTGTGATATGGACAATAAGTTAGAGGAGACAGAAGGAAAGAAAGATTAATTTGAGCTGAAAATGTCAGGCATCATCAAGAAGTAAAACTTAAAGTGGGCTCTTAAAGAGTTAATGGAATTTGGATCAGAAGAGAATAAAGTCAGCATCTACCTGTGAAGTCTGTTAACATATTTCACCAGTTCTAGAACTTCATTCCCCTAGTACATCATGAATTTTAAAACAGAGCTAGTAGTTCTAAAAAGAGGTATGTATCTTTGCAGTGCCAGGTCTGTAGATCTCCGAAGAGTACTAATCTTCTAAAAAGAACTTGAGTCACTATGTATGTGTGGTACAGAATAATAGATGCTGTTACTCCAAAAGGATTTGTTTGAAATTTGTTCCTAAATGGACCATTATGTGTAAAGAAATTTAAAGGGATTCTCCATAGTTTTGAGTATTGACCTTTGCAGAACAGTCTCTATCGTACAGTGATGACGCTTTCATTTTTCTGAGTCTAGTAGAGGACCTTTTGCACAAATGAGGAAAGTAGGGTGGAAGGTAAGTAGTTAACATGTTTTTAAATAGACCTAATCTCTCTTTTTATCCTTGGGATAAAAGTTGGGGAAACTAAATTATAATGTACTAGGACTACCAGGCAGCACCAGAAGATCCTCTCTCCCCTCTCAAAATCTACCCCACAGCCCGTATAATTTATATATTGGGCTGTCTTTGAGTTAATAAGTTACTTTGGGATATAAATATTCTCTGGAATATTTATAAATAAACCTTTATTCCTTAATGTCATTTGCTTTATGAGGTCATTAGATCTATTTGCTGGCTGGTCTTGCAGAAAAGGGAACTTTCAGAGGAGGACCACAAGGGAGGGTAATTCAGGAGTTTGCGGCTATTTTGGACCATCATAAAACAATGTAGTCCCCTCAGTGATAATTCCTGAGTTAGCCTCTCAGACTTCCTTGGGGGTAAATGAATCTCAGAATCCAAGCTCTGTGTTTGTTTGGCTAACCTCTTTTAGGCAGCCTTTCCAGTTCATGTCAGTGTTGATCCATCCCATCAGTATGGCATCCCTACTTCTGTTGCCTTGGTGGCAGGGAAGAACGAAAAGTTATATAATGGCTGTCAGCCCCTGTGGGGTGATAGATTGGATTCATCTAAAATGATGAATTGAACTCCTTGAACTCTTTTCAATTTTAGTATGGCTCATAGCACCAGTGATGATAAGCCATTAGGAAAATTAAAGGCCACCTGTGTGCTGAAGCAAGCTAGAATATCCCAAATCACAAATGATGTTATGTTATAGGAAAGTTCTTTCAGAAAATCTATGTTGTCTTACTTTATTGAACCGCCCCAAAACAAAATTTATTGCTTCTGTAAGTAAATCATCTTCTGTGATTCATCTTTTACTTACACTTAATTTTGTTTAAAATATATTCATGCAACAAATATTTATTAAGTACCTGTCATGTGCCAAGAACCTTACCATTGTCACTAGTAAAAACCAAAGGTTCTGAGACCTTATTAGAAAGAGAAGGAAAAAAGAAATTTAAAATGCTTAGTTTTTGGTTCACTGGTTCAAAAATCAAACCTCTAGCATAGTTTTGACTTACTTTCAGAGACAGTGAAAATCAGCCTAGTTTTGTGTTGTTTCAGATTTTTTGCATTTATTTGAAAAAAACATGATTCCAGAGAGGACCGTGGAGTTCCAACACATCATCCCCATCTCTGCAGTTACTGGAGAAGGAATTGGTGAACTAAAGAACTGTATAAGGAAATCTCTGGATGAACACACCAACCAGGAAAAGGATGCATATCATAAGAAGCAGTTGCTTAATTTACGTATTTCCAATACAATATCTTATAGTGAGCTACCATCAAAGAATGCTGTTACTAGTGCCAGAATAGATATAACTTGAATCTGTTAAAAGTGATATTGAAATTGCATTCATTTGGAAGCTTTCCACAGACATACTTTTTAGAAGGTTAGTTGTTACTAACCTGGTGTATATGCCATCATTCAAAAACCATACTTTTTAAAGATGTTTTGTACTTAAGTCTATCAACAGTAAAAAAAAAAAAAAGTAACTGGAAAGAAAAAAAGTAACTGAGGGTTAAAAATGACAGTTTATAATTTTATGGCCAATTCACCTGTAATAAAATCCTATAATACTCCTGTACGTATGTCTCTAGTGAGATCATTTTTTTAATTATATAAAGGATTCCTTATGAGCAACTAGGTTTTGTTTGTTTGTCTTTAAGTCTGTCATGTACCTGGTTCTACTAAATAGATAATAGTTCTCTATTTTGGAAAACCTCAAACCCTAAATTTGAACATATTCAGTGATAATAAAGACCATTGATAATCAGTAGATAGATCTTTGCGATTTCAGCTTTTGGAAATTTTTCTTTCTTAAGTATAAGAGTATTTTTTTTTTTTTTGTGGTATGTGGGCCTCTCACTGTTGTGGCCTCTCCCGTTGCGGAGCACAGGCTCCAGACGCGCAGGCTCAGCGGCCATGGCTCACGGGCCCAGCTGCTCCGCGGCATGTGGGATCTTCCCGGACCTGGGCACGAACCCATGTCCCCTGCATCAGCAGGCAGACTCTCAGCCACTGCGCCACCAGGGAAGCCCCAAGTATAAGAGTGTTTTTTTCTTGTTTGGACACACTGATGTATGTCTCATTTTATTGTGTCCTAGTCGTTTCACTGTCTACTTTCATATTTTAGTAAGGAGAATAAATAGGAAGTACAATATTAAACAGTATTATCCATCATCAGTATATTCTCAGGAGATTATAATTTCTAAATTTCTGCCTGACTTTCAAAAATACTTACATATTATACATTTTCTCCTAATGCATTTTATTATAAAATATACATGTTAATTGTAAAATAAAATAAAATTTAAACAGTGCAAAAGCATATAAAGTAAAAAAGAAAAGTTCCCATCTTTCTGCATCAGGCTCTCCAGTTCTCAGAGAAAACCACATGTTCTTGCAGAATTTTTTAATGCATATATCTTTTTGCCTAAATGAGTTCATTATATAAGACTTTCCAAGGTTTTTTGGTTTTTACAAAATAGTAGCAAGTTAATGAGCTTCTAAAAATTATTCTTCAGTGCTACTTTTAAACTATTAGGAATTGTCTTGGAATTTAAGGCTAAGTGAAGCCTTAACATGTGGCTGTAGGTATTAAATAAAAATGGCACTATCATTCTACTTAAATTTCTTCTGATATGACAATGTGAGTGACTTCTTACAATTGTTATTTCACTTTTATTTGTTCTGTTTTCTATTCCCCACTCCCACCTCCCATCCCAGTCCCCAGATCACTGGCTTTTCTTGTGTTTCTTTTCATTGCACGGCTATTTATTGAGTGTCTCCCCTGTGCCAGGCACTGTGCGGGGCGCTGCATGTACAGTGTTAAGGAGAATAGACAGGACCTGCTGCCCTCATGGATCTCATGTTCAACATCAGAAGCTGCAGGGGATTAGAGCACTTTACAGCAAAGGAGTAAGAGTGAGGAAAGCATTTGGAATTTGAACATCTTTACTGATCATAGTGACCATGTTTCATATTGGGTATGTTTTACATTTATAACTTGAGTGTCATTTTTCTCTTTTTCACGTCTATTATTTCCTAAGTATGAACAAGTAGCAGTGTGATGACAGTTTGATCAGGTGAATTTCTGAAGTTCTGACACCATAATCTTATTTTTTGCTGTGGCAAAGGATAGTAGATGTGTGTTGAGGACTAAGAGGAATTGTAGCTTATTTATTGTGTCTGTATTGCCCAGGTTACTACTCCACAACTAACTGAAACATTTTATGTAACTCACTAAAATGTTCCATTATTTGTATTTTCTTCTTACCAAAAGTGTACTCTATGTACCTTTTTCTGATAGTTGATTTTTATTCTAAATGAAAGAAGAAAATCTGAATTCCTTTTTTATTTTATAAAAAATAAATTTTAAACACTTAAAGATTTATTTTGAAATAAATATTTTAACTGCCATTTATTTTGTCCTTAATACTTTTTTGTTAAAAAGTATTGTTGTAGTACTGAATCCTCAATTGTATCCTTAATTGTTATAGTACTGAATGGCCAGGGTATCAATACACTGTGTTTAACAAATTTTTACCAAGTCCCAGTCATTCTTGCAGAGCTTGCTATTTCAGAGTCATTTACCATCATAAATTACAAATTTATGCTACCAGACACTGTCAAGTATCCAACTGTGAGGTTGGATCTGTGCTCTGAAGATTTCACCTATGAAAAAAAAAATTTCAGAAACCTATTGTTCTTTTTGTAATATATATCCATATTATTTATCATAGCAAAATGACCTTTTTGTAAAATAAATGTTTTCTTTTAAGTGGTAAACATGTATTATATAATCAAGGGGGAAAATCTGCTTTCATAATGGGTAAAATTAGGTCAAGGGTATTTTATTTCAGGATTTATCCAGTTAGTTTTCCTGTAAAGTTATGTTTTCTTTTAGCTCAGTGTTCATTTGACTTGTGAGGATAGAGGTCAGAGAAAGTTAATGAAAGCTACAGATTTGTTTTTCTTGCTAGAAGTACACAAAGATGTGATGTATTTTCCAAGTAGTTTCACAGGGTTTTTGCAAAGTTCAGATAAAATATTCAGTTAACAAAGTTAAGTTCCATCAAGAAATTTGTAATACCATTAAGGTACATTAAAAATAATGTTTCAGGGTTTCCCTGGTGGCGCAGTGGTTGAGAGTCCGCCTGCCTATGCAGAGGACACGGGTTCGTGCCCTGGTCCGGGAAGATCCCACATGCTGCGGAGCGGCTGGGCCCGTGAGCCATGGCCACTGAGCCTGCGCGTCCAGAGCCTGTGCTCCGCAACGGGAGAGGCCACAACAGTGACAGGCCCGCGTACCGCCAAAAAAAAAAAAAAAAAAAAAAGTTTCAAAGCAACAGCATAGAAGTATACTTACAAGTTATAGCTTAAAAAACAAATTAAAAAAAAAGAAACAAAATGAAAATGAGGAATAATATAAATTGGTAAACTTTATACAAAAGACAATTTCAAAAATATGGCAACTTTTTTTTGAAGTCCAAATTGTTAAGTTGGATGGTAGGTACATGAGAGTTTTGGGGTTTTTTTTAACCTTTTTGTGATCTAAAATATTTTATAATTACAAAAAAGGATTTGCCTTACAAAAGTTTATATACCTTGGGAATTAAGAGGTAAACATAGTTGATAAATATTGGCAGACAACATGCTACAATCTTTACTGCAGAGTTTAATAATGAAAAATATCTATTTTTTTTTCTTAAAGAGATATTTCAGGGAAGTGTTCTATTTATTTCCTGTTTTGTGATCGGAGGTAGCCAGTACAGGGAAAGTATCAGAGGACTCTTTTTTTTTTTTTTTTTTTTTTTAAAAATTATTTATTTATTTATGACTGTGTTGGGTCTTCGTTTCTGTGCGAGGGCTTTCTCTAGTTGTGGCAAGCGGGGGCCACTCTTCATCGCGGTGCACGGGCCTCTCACTATCGCGGGCTCTCTTGTTGCGGAGCACAGGCTCCAGACGCGCAGGCTCAGTAATTATGGCTCACGGGGCTTAGTTGCTCCGCGGCATGTGGGATCCTCCCAGGCCAGGGCTCGAACCCGTGTCCCCTGCATTGGCAGGCAGACTCTCAACCACTGCGCCACCAGGGAAGCCCCAGAGGACTCTTTTTAGCTTTTTAGCTTGAGTGTCACAAGTCAGCTGAAGGAAAAGCAAAATCAAATACGTAATAGAAATGAGAAAAGGAGAAAGAAAAGTATGTATGTTGGAAAGTTGGAGTATTTCCTTGTGGATAACTTAGGAGTAAAAGATGGGCTCATTGCCTCAGTTGGATGAGAAGCCAGCGGCAATTTGAACTACCTTTTCTGACTATAACCACTAATTTTAGGGTGTCCTAATTAAAAAAATTTTTTTTCTGTTTCTCATTGTAAGACAGTTGCTTAATTAATAGTTGTTGGGTATTTGGAAGACTTCAAAGGAAGTAATCTCCTTTGTGTATATTATTAATGTGTTCATAATAGAAATGAAATCTTTTGGGGTACCCAGATACCAAGCTATGTGAAGCATAGGTGTTACCTGAATCATGTCCTTTCCTTTGAAATACTTGGAAGTTGAAGAACAGGATATGCAATTTATATTACAGCTAATTCTGGAGCAAATATAGCAAGGCATTTTTTCCTATTTATTTTGTAAACTCTGAGTGCATTGAAAGTTGAAAGCAAAGGACAAGAGCTTCCTTTGTTCATGGCACATATTTCAATATATTTTTCTGAAATTGTCAGTATCTTCTGACCAGTGCCTTCATTTTCTGATTTGTTGTCAAACATTGTTATTGGTATTATTTCTATATAAAAGGCTTTAGAAAGGCCATGGTGTAATATTCTTATATTAAGAAAAAGGATATGATTATAAAGCTAAAACATACCTTCAGTTTTATTTGTTTATGGTGTGCTACAAATTGAGGGAGATTGAAAATATCTTAAATCAAGAGCAGACATTGAGTAAAAGCTTATGGCTTTGGATGGGTTTGAAGCATGATTAAATGATAGAGTAAATAAAAGCCCCTGGTCAACCAAATCCTAATGGAGGGAAATAAGAGTACTGCATAATAATTGAGCCTCAGCTTCAAAAACAAATCTTTCTGTGAACTGGTACTACTCCCAGGGTCAAGAGAAATAGTAAGAACAATACTGAGCACACATGGCCTTTCCTATAAAAATATGAACCAGAAAACTCACAAAAGAACCATTAATGTCATAATCCCAAATTTGTAACACTTTCATCAAATGTTTAACATACAGGTTTCTCATTAAAAATGGGGTATGTGGGCTTCCCATAAAGCAGAAACTAACACACCATTGTAAAGCAATTATACTCCAATAAAGATGTTAAAAAAAAATCCATACAAAAAATAGTGGTGGTGGGAGGAGCGGTAATAGGCATGTTAAAAGACAAAAGATTTAAAACACCTGCAAGCGATTCCAGGAAAAAGCCTTCAGTTATTGTACTTTAAGCCAATTCTGTTGTACAGTCCCGTCCCCTTCCGGCTCCCTCCCCTCTTCACTAGTAACTTTATTAAAGATCAGGAACAAGTGCTGTCGTCCTAGCTATGTTATAGTAGACGACACATTCCTAACAGTT